TTTGTAATTTAAATGCTGTGAGTTTCATGTTTTTAAACGGAAAAAACCTGCAGCCCGTGTGAATGGCCCCTGACAGGCTTGTTTTGTTTAAAAAGATACATTTCTATGAACATCAGCTTTTGAGTTTATCATGTTCAAGCCTTTGTGGATGAGCCATTACTTGCATGACTATAACTAACAGTCAGTGATTATGTTTAGTAATGTCAAGTTCTCTTTTTTTGTAATTGTGTAGATAAATGATGATCCCTTATCTCCGTTTAAACATTCACTTGCTGACATGGCAGAAACGTCCAAATAAATAGATCCTGCATGCTTGTTTTGATATGCTTAGTTACATGTTCTGTCCTCCATTAGGTGTTCAATTTGAATGCTCCAGTTCCTCCAACCAGTGAGATGGACTCGCAGAAGATTTCTAGCCAATATCAGAGCGGTTACGGTCAAGGCTACAGCACACAGGCCAACCTCCCGGCTGAGCAGCAGGAAATCCCTCAAGAAGCCCTGCAGTCAGGTGAGAGATTTACTGCTAAAAGTTGTGCTGTTTTACAGTTTCAATAGTGTAAAGTACTATATAACTAATTGTTTTTGTGTATGTGTAATTATCTTTATTTCTAATTATATCTAATGTAATATGTGATTTTTATCTTGCGCAATAATTTTTTCTTATTAGTTGGCCCCTTCCATTCTCAAGACCAAGGTATTCCATCTGCAGGGGGACACCAGTCTGCAGCTCAGCAGCCCTCGGGGCAGGGCACAGGGTTTGGGCGGCCAGGTCAGTCTTTTTACAGCAATAGAGCAATGCCGCGAGCTGGACCCAGAAATCCTAGAGGTGCTTTGAACGGCTACCGTGGACCATCAAATGGATTTAGAGGTGAGACAGACTTCTTTAATCTGTGCCGAGACATTCTAGTCTGAACTCCAGTACGAAATCATACCTTTTTTTTTTTCCCTTACGTAAGGTGGATACGATGGATATCGTGCTCCATTTCCCAACACTCCTAACACCGGATATGGGCAAACTCAGTTCAGCACTCCGCGAGATTACTCCAACAACACCTACCAACGGGTAACGTCAAGAAAATGAATACCATGTAGCTTTGTGGAGATTTGAGAAGTCCTAAATATGTGTTTCTGTAATCGGTTATGTTTTGAAGTTCCGTGTGGTTTCTCTACAGGATGGATATCAGCAAAGCTTCAAGCGAGGAGCTACCCAGGGACCTCGAGGTTGCTCTCGAGGTAATGCTCAAGCGATGCGATCCTAAAATCTTTGGGAAGACTTGTTACTTTTTGGCCACTTTGAACATTCAGTTATCGAGAATGTTTCCCCTAGCCCATATTTTTACTCCTATCAGTGGTTTTGTTATTGTTTTGGCTTATTGATTCAAGTAAGCCCACTTTGATGGTTTTAATATACTAATGTGTTTTACAGAGACACAGTAAGGAGCTGAAACTGTCAGTGTTGTGATTTTTCAGCCAGGTTGTGTTTAAAACATAGATATTCCTGTAAACTTGAAAGATTTTCATTAATTTATTTTTTTTATAAAAGAAAATGCAAAAAGTTAACTGCCACTGTCGGGTCCAATCCATAGGAGTGTTTTTTTGTTTGTTTTTTTTTGGCCTGTTCCCTTTCCCACACTTGGTTCTTGCCTGTTTATTGGGTACTGAAGGCATTAATTGTTTGTTTTGTTGTTGTTTTTTTCACCCCATTTCATTTGAAGATTTATTTTTTTCTGCTGTCCTCCCCTTTGTATGCTCATGTCACTCCTTGAGAGAATGTTTCAATAAAGATGTGTTGCATTACCTGCTTGTCTGCCGCTGCTTCCTTTTTGCTCTCCATGCTGAGAAGTGCTCTCACCTGTCCTGTGACCCTTTGTCTGCTAAAGTGTTTGAGGTTGACTGTCTCTTTTAGTCTTCCATGGGGAGGCAGGTGATTGATCCGCTTATCGGTCCATTTTCTGCAACTCTGCTGTTTGCTTTCCCGCCCCTTGCGTCATTTATTAAATCCTGCTTTTCAACAAGCTTAAGAGTTTGTATTGATTGGGTGTGAAGAGTTAAACAAAATGGCTCTCAGATTGCCTCCAATCAGGGAAGCTATAAATGACATTGCTCCAAATCAATCCATAGCTGATGCACTGCTTTTCCTGCTTTAAGTTAAAACAAAAATAATTCTGTCATACCAAAACTGTTATGTTTTTCTTTATTCCTTGAAATATGAACGTGTTCAGTGCAACGTTGACACTGCTGTTTTCTATACAACCAAAGTGAATGGTAACCATGACAGAGTACTTTTAAATATTAAATCTAAAAGTTGCATAGACTACTTGACTCACTGATCACAATTCATTGTATGGGAATGAATATTCTTGCGTAATCTTCCCTTATTTTTGGCATATACCATCAACACAAGGACAAATATGGGTTTGGAATAGCATAAGGGTGAGTAAATGATGCAAAATGTTTATTCTGGGGTGACATGTCCCTTTAAATGGTCTTGCGTGACCTGAAGATTAGCAAAGCTAAAACGGATTTATAGAAAGAAATGAACTGAAAAAAATGTCATGCAATGTTCAGAGAATCCTGCTGTTGCTACTGACACTTTCTCTAACTGCTAATGATGGTTTAGGTTTATTACATTTGCAGAGCCTTGTATATAGACTTTAGAGTTTCTGAGGGCTATAATGAGTTTTGGAGCTGTTTGGATGAATCTCTCGTAGTTTCTTGGATTTACAGTTTGCATTTTAATACTTATAGTATACATGTAGATAATGTGCATACTTTATTGTGCTGCTTGGTGATTTAGGAACAGCTAAAAAGCAGGGAAAGTGCGCATTGTAATTGGCACTGAAATCATTGAATGCGACTAGACTATTTAACTCAGCATTGATTTTCTGATGTATTTGGGTTTCAGGACGTGGGGGATCATATCGGTCCAGCAGAGGAATGGGTCCCATGGCTGCCCAACAGACCAGCTAAACCTAGACCTTTAGCCAATATCAGCCCTGTTCCACCCTTTTATCTCCTCCACCCATTTGGACTCTCAAACTCGAGCCGTGCCACTCCAGACCATGTAGTTAGATGACTGCATCTTAGCAAGTAAGGACACAATCAATGGTTTTGGGAAAATACAGTATCAATGAGACTATAGCACTCCCAGCACTGTAATTGCTCAGAGCTCTCAAAGCTTTCTCTCAATCATATGCTATTGCACAGCCTTTACACATTTGAGACAGAACACGTGCCTTTGATTATGGGTGTCTGGATTTTAAGCGATCTTGGTGGAATAATGACTTGGTAGCTGGGAACAGCCACTAGATTTCGAATGTGAAGTACACCGTATACCAAAGGCACTTCGTTTTTGGCCAAACGAACTGTTAAGTGAATGTGAAGAATTTTCTTGTACGTACTGTATTGTGTCATTGTTATTTTCTTTTTTTGGCTCAGCCAAATGGTTTACAGGAAATGCATTGTACTGTATGTGGCTGAATGACTGCTTCATTGTATTTCTTCCTATTATGGTTGATTAGACTTAATGCTAACAAATAAATGATTTTTTGAAGGACAAGCCACTTTAAATGTTATTCTGCACGCATTTAGTGTGAAGAGCAGATCAAATCTTCTTTGAAGCCAAATACACTTGTGCATTTGATATCTTAAACTCTGCTATTTTTATAGTTTATTAGTGCTTGATTGATATGATGGTCACAGAGTTTTTTTATACTAGTTCAAGGTTTAGTTCAAGTTAAGCTAAATTAGCTCAACCTAATCATTTTTCGGTGTAGTTATATCCAATTTTATATCTTAGTTGCTATGAAAACATAATGTCTTAAAGTTTAAACATCTTTGCATGCAAATAATATCCCAGATTCAACCAAATTAATGTAAGCACATTTGATAAAAGTCCCTCATTGTATCCTTCATTCTTGCTGTTTGATTGAGCTTGATTTGTACTGAACCGGCACTGTTCTTTTACATAAAGTGTTCGTTTGTTAAAAAAACAACCTTTTTTTTCCAAATAGATTTTTATTGATGTCTGACTTAAATCTTAAAGTTCCCACTGTAAGCAACGGTTAAAATTCTGAGTAGCCCTAATCATTTAAAATCTTCCAGTACAATTCAACAATATTCTGATACCACACAACTAGGTTTAAAGTAGCTTTTCATGGCCATTAAAATTTCAGAAAACTAAATGTGCAAAACAAAAGCTTATACACAGACATCCAATCCAATGTTGGAAAAAAAAAAAATATCCACAACGTATATTTTCAATAACAAAAAAAAATCAAACACAATTATACCAAACAGCAAATTCTGCATTAAAAGTATTATATAACCAGCCACTTTCCCACTAATTAAAACCGCCGCAACACACATGAACGCAGATAATCATTGACTAGTACTGGACAGGAGGTACTGTTTGTTGAAGTCTCTGTGAGCCTGGTGCTAGGTAAGTTTCTCCACAAAAGCCATGTGACGGTCCTATGGCACATTGTTGTGGTCGAGGGGCATCTTTGGAGAATCTTGCAGTGGGCTGTTGTGTCCTGGAGGCAGTGGCTGGTTTTCTATTATATTTTTGTGTTCCTGTCCTTGATCCTGTTGATTCGGAGGTACAGCATGATGCTGCTGTTGTTCTGGAGGAATATTTTGGTGTCCTGGTGGCAAAGGCTGGTGTTCAGAAGGCTGGTCATGTCCTAGTGACTCAGGGACAGCATTTCCCTCCACTATTATGAGAAATTTAGAAAGTGTTGTATCAATTCAAGTATATTTGCCAAGAATGTGTTGCATTTAACTTAAAATGTTTAAAATTCAAGTATATTTGCCAAGAATGTTGCTTTTAAAATGTGTTATTCAAATTTAAATGTTTGAAACCAAGTATTTTGGCCAGGAATTAGAAATAGATTCTCCGTTTGCAGTGAAGTGGAGGGAGCGAGAACACACAAACATACAGTTTTATCGAATGCTTTACGTACCAATCAAGAAATTGGAAACCCTGTTAACCCACTGAACAGAATTACCCATGTTTCGTTACCCACGTTCTCTAGAATAATGTAAAACTAAAAGAACATGTCAGGTGGTATCACATTCAGGGCCAGTTAGCCAATGTAATCTTTACATGATCTGGTTATATATGTAATTTACAAACGAAAGTAGAACTTACAATGCGTCGCAGGTGGAGACGGGTCATTCTGTGTTTTCAACCGTTCCATATGCTCCACAGCCTGAGAAAAAAGACGCACAGAATAGGTTTTCATTCACTTGTTATGACTTGTTTTTCATTCAATAAGCAGATACAAGACAAATCAGTTCAGTTACCTGCTGTAGTTCTATTTTCTGAGCATTGAGCTGCTCCTGCTGTCGCTCTAGTTCCTCTCTCTGCTTCTGAAGGTCAGAAGCTTTCTGGTTTAAGTCTTCCTCCTGCCTGACCAAATGCTCCTCAAACTCTCTCATCTCTTCATCAGTATATGCTTGGTTCTGTTCTAGAGTCTAAGGTCATCCGAAAACATGAAGGTTAAATGCCATTTTTTGCATTTTTTTACTCACTCGCTCTTATAATTAATAGGTTTATACAGAAGTCGAGATCAGAATTCTTGCCACCGTTGGTAATTTCAAATTCCCTTAATCATCTATCATTTAGTTCTGATGTGCACAATAGAAAGTGGCTATAAGAAAATAACTAACTAAAGCATTGAAATTTCCCATTTCCACCTTTAGGGCAAAAATTAAAGTTCCAATCAACTAAAAATGTTACATATCTGCATGGAAGAGGACACATGTCTGTATTTTCTTAATGCACGGTGATGAGGATAGTTTGAGTAGCGACTCTCCAAGGATCACAGCTAGAGAATAGCAGAAATTAGCTGAGTTTTGGTGTCAGAAATCCCCCCCAAAATATACAAATAAAACAGGACCTACATCACCACAAATTGTTTGGATAAACTCCAGCATAAGCTTTCAAAAAACTTTTAGCTGTTATCTTGGAAAAAGGAGGTTGCGGAACATGTGCCATTAACTGTGGCCAATGTGTATTAGAGAAAATCACTTATTTCATAATGAGATTTTCCCCCCATTTTCAATTGTTTTACTTCCATAAAAGGTTAGATTTTGGGGGTTTCTTTTTTTTTTTGTAATAAAGGGTCAAAAGGATTAGCAATGCAGATTTATTTTCACAGGCCTCTTTGTTCATATTTACCAAGGTTGCCAGTAATTCTGACCAGGACTGTACTTTGATCCTGTGTCAAACTTAACACAATAATCCAGACTGTTTAGTGTTTACTGATGCATGAATTAGATGTTATTGATCAATGGTCTAATTATGTACCAGTAGCGTGTCACACTCACTTCCCAGCTGTCTGGTTCAAGAAACTCTTTTTTCTTTGTGGCAACCAGGAACTCGTCTAAGGACACCAGTCTGTCTTTATTGGTGTCAACCTGTAAAGGCCAGATGATTACAGATACAGAAAAAAAATTTTTTTTGTTTTGTTAGATTTGTCAATTTTCCTGAAGTTGCCATGTCAAGACATGCAAAGACAACTGGTCCATTATTTATAATCATCATTTAACCTCGTTCATGACGTGCTCTCTCATTCGCAGCCTTTCCTCCTCCATTTCAACCATGTCGTCCTCTTCATTAGTTGGGTCATAGATCTTCTCCAGCTAAAAAAAAATCAAATGAAATCAGAAATTATTTTTTAAATAGCATAACATAAAATAAATTAGCAGAGCATGTGGTGACTTATGCAATTGTGTACCTCCTTCGTGAATAGGGCTTCCAGCTCTTGTTCATCAAAGAATCCATCTCCGTTTGAGTCTGCAATACAAGATTGCGAAAATATAATAATAGTAAGTATGTCATTTCAGCATTCTCATATCCAGGATTTGGCTAAGCCATCAAGAATTTTTACCATGCAGATTGAAGAATGTTTTTGGGTCAAAATCTTCAGGGTCAAGGCCATCAGCCTCCTCCCACACTTCTTTTAGCTGATCCTTGCTACCCTATGGAATAACACGTTAGAGAAATATGAGTATATCTTCAATGAAATCAAAGTTAAGTTAATGCGTGCAGACTTACGGGGTGGTTGACTTTGGGGTGATCAGCATGTTTTTTCTTCAGCTCCTCATAGTGCTCCTCCTCTTTCTTCCTGTCTTCCTCATCAAGTGTCTTCAAGTGTTCCCGTCGCTCATGCTCTTTCATCATCTCGTACCTTTTAAATTCTTCATGCCGTTCCTTGTCGTAGTTCTCCAGATCATTTGTAGCCTATATTGCAAGATCATAAATGTAACTGAAAGATTATAGCTTTATGTGTTCTGGTCTTATCATTTGTATCTAAAAGGTCTTTTGTTGCTCAGTGACCAAATGAGAAGGGAAACGCATGCTGTATGCAGACCTTGGCTTTACAGTCTTACATGATATTCTTTTAAAGTGTGTATGGAAGATTCCAGAAATATTTGAGACAGTATTTTCAGGTTTTCTGTGGGAATTTACCTTAAAATTAAGCAGAATGTGCAAGTAACTGTGTCCTACAAAAACGAAACGCCACTGAAATTTCTTTAGCGACCATATATTTTTCTATATTTAGCTCTTGTTCTTTGCGTTCCATAAAAAAAAAAAACTATCTTGTAATCACAAATGACTGTAAAGTCATGACATGGATTTAATAAAATGTGAGAAAAATTGAATTATTTGTCCTTTTTGACTTAATTTTATGCAACATGAATTGTATTTTAAATGCAAAATATATTATTGACTTAAACGATTACAAGCACCAAAATCAAGTATCAAAAGATGGATTCAAGTATGATTATAAAAGCTGGGTAACTGTAAGTAATGGCATACCGATTTGATGAGTCTGTCCAGATCCTCAACCTCAAATGTGTGCGGGTTCATGTGGTTCAGATATTCAAACTGTTTGAGTAATGCCTGGTGATCTACCGCAATATCTGTGAAACATGAGAGAGAACTGTGTTTAGAGAATGTTCTGAAAATCAAGACCCATATGCTTAAAAAAAAAAAAAAAATCAATGAATCTACTAGATGTTGCATCTTATTTGGTGTTTGTGGTCTGTTCATTCATTAAAGTCACCATGAAATCAAAATTAACAATTCATGCGCCCTCGTAATCTTTAATCAAAATAACTCCCGAGTTTATCTCCCTACGCTCTCAAACAAATACATTTATGCAAGTCTTCATATACTGTATATTTTGCAATAAAATTAAAACATATTGTTTTTATACATAATCAACATCTGTAAATGAGTAGTTCATATATTTATGCATTTCTCCTTTTTAATTTGATTATGCTGTGTTCGCAAGGCTTCATGGGATTGTAGTTCTTTCCCCTCACCAAGGTGTCAAGTACTATTATACAGTCTTGCACCTTTGTCTTTTTAACTCACCTTATGTATGTAAAATTACCACAAGCATTTATTCAACTATAATTATTTTGACAGCCATTCTTACCATTCCCTCCTTCAATGTCCTGCTTGGCTTTGATCAGGGTTCTCAAACGGCTGACCTCTTGCCTTTTTAGTTCATCCAGCTTGGTTCTCACATGGTGGCTGACAAAGTCAAGCTCTTTAGCCAACTTCCCTTGCTGAAATCAGTAGGAATTAACAGATTAGCTATGTGTGACCTTTGTATCATACAAGACAAATAAAGCCATGCTGTTTCTTACCTTTATATCTTCCATGTCTGTGTTGTGGAGCTTTTCTCTAAAATGTTGATCTTTTTCAAGGAAGTCAATAACTTCTCTGAGATAGCGGTCATAGTGTAGTCCGGTGTCCTACAAATATAATATAAAAATAATAGAAATACATAATAAGATAATGTCAAATTTAAAAGTGTGACACTTACAACTTGTTGCCAAAGTTTGTTATATAATTGGCTATTCAAATGTTTCTTACCGCACTCTGGGGAGGTTCTTTGACTGTTTCCTCTGCGAGTTTAACCTTAGTTTTATCTAAACTTATTGGCACGGCCTTGGCCCAGGACATCACACTCGCCAATACAAGGCAGCTGGCGAGGAGCCCCTTTAAACAGGACATCTGAAAAAATTAGCAAACATATGGATTAAACATCAAGCCGGAGATGACAGCTCTTTCATATTTTATATGGCTTGTATCGCAAAACCCAATGAGCCGACTATCCCTTTTGGAAATCTGAACCTTAAAAAAAAAATAATAATAATAATCTGTCTAGCCTAAATAGACAGCTCGCTACCCAAGTAACACAGCCACTGATTGGCAGATCAGCTCTCCAATAAATCCGTTACTAAGGATAAACGACATTATCAGGCAGTTAGCGGGTCACTATATTAAAGAGACACTGCAAATATACGTGGTTTTGCTGGAAAGATATCATTGTAACAGAGAGATGTGGTTTGAAAGGGTTGCTGATCTCGATACATAGAAGCTAATTTCATTAGCTTGCCATTGCCAGTGAAGTATATGCCAGACGTTATAGCGAAACTCGCAATCCATTTTATAAGTGAAAAGTTGAATTGTTGATGTTCTATTTGGGTTAATGTATCCGGAGCGATTCACAATTAAACAATGCCACTTACGGTGTCAGATCGGTTTCTATCGAGCTATCTCGGGTGTTTTCTGCTTCCTTTCATTACCGCTGGCTTCCTGACTGTCCGCTATCTTGGACTGATGATGATGACTAACAGTAACACAGAGGCTAGCGAGCTAGAGCTAACCCAGTAACGTTAGAAGGAGACAGTAAGCTAGTCCACGTAGATCAAGAGCATTGTGTGTTTGGGCTTGAGTGATATTGTTTTTTATAACGCTAATATTGACTTCCTGAAGGGGGCGCATTGCGGCTCAGAAAGGCGAATAATGGACTGGGTTTTTTAAATTTGAAATATTTTTGCACTTAAAACATTATCGATTAAAACGTGATAATTATACTGTTTGCTAGACGTAAGTTTCAGAACATTCTATACAATTCTGAACCATTGTATGATTGGTCCGTTCTGACAAGCACTGAAAAATGGAACCGATAACAAATTATCTAATAACGCTGAAAATGTGTGTTATCATTTCTTCGGATAATAATAATAATATTGATAATATTGGATGAATGGATAATAATTTAAACCCGACCATACGCCCATTTCATAACTCTGTTGTACGCGCCAGTTCAATCCACTTATTATATTTCTAGAGCCTACAGCCCTCTGGTCCAGACACGCTTACAGCAGTTGGTCTTTTCTTGGAGCGCCAACTGCTGGTGGATATGAGAAGAAAAAAAAAATATAATAGAATTTCTCTCTTTGCATTTTTTTTTCTTTACAAATAACATAGGACGACAGCAATGAAGTAAATTCTTGAAAATACAAACATAAATGAACACTGCAATTATGAACATATTACATCACATAATGTTAGCAAAGGTCTTTGTCATACTCTAATTTTGTACTTAGTACAAAATTAGAGTATGACAAAGACCTTTGCTAAGTAGATTGAACACAAAATGTTGGGTTAGAGAAAGGAAAGATCATCCACTGACTCATAATTAACATTATTACAAAGTTGTTAAAAATAATATGATCATTGAAATGAATTTTTATGCAAAGATTTTAGAAGGACTTATCTGGATTTATTGGAAATAAACAATTAATAGGAAGGGGGTGGGGGGTCAATCATCTATCATCATCAATCATCATCTATTCAAACATAGATGACAGAACAAACTGGAAAATATATTTCAAAAGGTAACGTTATAACAAGTAAATAAAAAAACAGAGGCATTCAATATCTCTCTTCGTCCATATTTAAGGTAGCAAAGAAATTTTACACCAGATTGAAACACGCGGTTAATAAATAACATGTAAAGATTAAGTCAAAAAGATAATAATCAACTTACTA